CAGGACCAGACCATCCCAACAACGGGGTCCCTTCCTCCTGCCCCACCTTTCCCTGCTCAGACATGTTGTTTCCATATTGAAGGGATGCAGGAGGTTTCTAACTCATCCCTGGACTAACTCCAGTCAATTAACATGGGTGGAGACTGGGCGAGTGATTTGCTGATGGGAGCAAAGGAAGTTGCAAGTACCAGCCTCTGGAGGCCAGTGGCAGAGCCAGGAAGAGGCCCCCAGGTCTCCTGGATCCCAGCCCAATGCTCTATCTATAAGGCCACCCTGAAAATGCCAGGTGTCCTTATCTTGGCACAACAGAAGGTGTTTCAGGGGACTGGGGAAGGCGGTGACAGCTCCAAAACAGAGCTGTCTCCCTGGGAAACAGTGCAAAGGGCCAACGAACCCCCTGAAGACACCCCAGGGACAGGAGGCCCCCTGGCCACTTGGCCGCCCGCTGCCTTCCCATTCCTTACCATTGACGACGAGCTGGAGGCTGATGCACTGCTCCAGCCCAGCCGGCCCATTCCTCAGGACCAGGGTGTACATCCCAGAGTGCTGCTCCGCCACGTCCTTGATCTGCATCGAATATTGAGATTGCCTGTTGGGAATTAACTTTCCATCCTTGTACCTGAGGGAGGCAGAGAGAAAACGCATGCACCCAGAGGAACGCTCCCGCCGAGGCATGCTCCAGGCTGGGGGTTTCTGTCGCTACAACTGGGAGCCCCACTTTCCTGAGGAAACAAAGGAGGGGCCTTCTGCTGTCTTGGAGGGATAGACTCTAGCACCAGGAGGCCTGGGCTGCAGGGTGCCCGGCAGTGCAGGATGAGGCCCTCTGCTTTTATCCTCCATGCAACAATGACCCTAGCTACCCAGCCGGGAGAGGAGCAGCACAAATGCAGCTCCGCTCAGCCCCTTGGGCAGCGCAGCAGTGCCCAGCTCCTCATCTCTGCCACTTGCTTTCAGCATGCACCCTGCTTCCCTCCCGGGCAGGAGGAAGGTGCACAACATTGCAAAGTAGCCACCTGCCCTGTGTGTGGGGGGCCGTGGGCGGCGAGGACAGAGGAGGTCGAGGGATGGGAGAGCCGATGCAGCCAAAACCAGAAGGCTGATTCCAAGGACCCATTAGGAGCGCTCTCTTCCCTGGCCGGCTGCCAGCTGCCTGGGCTTGAGCCAAGGGAGAGCACTTCCATCAGCGGCAACTGCTGGGATCTCTCAGTCAATCCTGTTAGCCAGTTCCTGCCTCCCCAGAGCGCTGGAGGGAAATCTCTCTTCCCGACAGGGATATCCCCAGATCCTCAAGAGCCCCAGTCCTCCCCGCTCCCTCCGCAGTCGTGCTGGCATGACGGGTGGGTACCAAGGAGGGGCAGGCAGGGAAAGGTGCGTTACCACTGGAACTCTGGCTGTGGGTAGGCGACGACCTTCACCGGCAGCTTCACCACTTCGTCTCCTGCCGTGGCCTCGATCACGGGGCCCTTCCTCCACTCCACGTTGATGAAGGGCTTTTCTGTAGGCACCAGGGGAGGCAAAGGAGATGCATGAGAGGACAGACCATCCAGCTGCTCTACCGAGGTGTCACCAATGCGAGGAGTCAGCCACGCGTGGCAGGACCACAAGTGCTAGGAGTGCATGCTAGTCAGTGTGTGGAAACAGAGCTGTGCCCTCGCTGGGGTGTAAGGAAACTGCGAACACCGAGCTGCCAGCTCAGTGCTGAAGTACAGGAAGCCCCCAGCTCGTCCTTTGCTTTGGGATCTCTCACTCTGCTTTCAGGCTGTCTCTCCCTGCCACCTTCCCCGACCCCCACCGCCTGGGACACGGGGAACATCCGCTGTACCGTGCACGATGACATCTGTGCTCTCCTGGAATATCTGCTCCCCATTGCTGGCAACACACTTGTAATTCCCCAGGTCCTGCTGGCTCACGTTCTGGATGATGAGGATACTGGAGAGCTCCGTGTGCGTCTGCTGGGAGCGCCTCTCGGGGACCTCTGTGGCGGCCCGCTGCAGCTGCCAGTTGGAGTGGGTAGAAAGAAGGGGGTTAAAAAACAAGATGCGGTGATGGAAGCAGTTTGGATGGGTTTCCACAGGAGCAGACTCATAGCTTGGAGGGCTCAAGTCCTTCCCCAGTTGCTTCTCCCCAACCCATTGTTTGAAAGATGGGCAGCTCTGTTATCTGCTTCCGTCCTTCGGGACCCGCTCAGCCTGGCAGCGAGCCATTCCTACGGGTCTAGGCTTGTAACAGGCCTACGGTGAATAACTAGACCAGGAACCCTGCTGTGTTTTTAACTTTCTGAAGTTCACCAGTGATGTTGCCACTGAGTACTGTTTTACAGGACAAAGTCTGGTCCATGGCTGTTCTACCCCCAGCATCTGCCAGCTGTTTTAATCTTACCAGGAGCTAGACAGGAGCTACCAGAATGGGTGGGTGTCTCAACAAGGAAGGAGGTCACAGGTTCCCTGCCCTGCTGCCTCCCACATTTAACCTCACTAAAATGCTGAAGTGGATGTACACCAAAGCCAATGGAATACAATAGCCCTGGTAAAATGCAAGGTAAAGTGGAGCACGGCAAGGCCGCTGTAACGGGAACAGCCGAGAGAGGCAGCAGCTTCCGCTGCCCTTGACAGACGCAGACACTCTGCTGGACGTTGCAGCCCTGAAAAGCTCAAATCACCCTACTCAAGTCAAGGAGGTTTGCGGTGGTTTTGCACCTGTGGAAACAAAACTGGCACTTGACCTGCAGGCTGCCAGAGAGAGGCAGAAAAGGATGGCTTGACTTTCCTGGGAGTGGAGGGAACAAAATTTCCCTCCTCCATGGGCTCTTGCTGCATAATGGCAGAGGGACACTTGGTGGGAAGCATCCTAGTCGCATGAGCTGAACGGGATGCTCAGGCCCCAGCCAGGCAGGGTGGCCACAACTGGGATCTGAGCCTCACCATCAGCCATGGAGGGGGAGCTCACTGCCTGGCACCCCACTCCCTGCTGGCCACGAAAAAGAGGAAAACAGGATGGAAGTTAACCCTGGACATCACATGCCCCAGCAGCCATCGCTTCCTGGCCTGAGAACACCGCCAGCATCAGCGAAGCACCAGTCTGGAGACTGAATGTATGGGGAGCAGCTGGGGGGCGGCAGGAGGGTGTTTCAGGTACCTGTTTCCCAGGATAATCCCACTGGAAGTGCACTCCGGAGTTGAACTCAGCCCACACAGTGCAGTTCAGGACCAGCTTCTCCCCCACAAGCAGCTCCATGGCCTTCTTGGGAAACAACTGGATGTCGTACAGTTCATTCCCTGATAAAACAAAGGTGAGAAGAGAAGCCATTCCTGAGTGAAGGAAATACCAGGCAGCTCTGTGCGCGTGTCCACATGCAGATTCGCTAGGATTGAGGAATTCAGCGCAGCAGGGCAAAGGGCGCCGGATACCAGCCTACCTGTGATGTGGACAATGAAGAAATTGGACTTGAAGAGCTTCTTGTCAATGGTGGTTCCACACTGAATGAGCCAGGAGTCCCTGATCTGGTGAGTGGGGACCAGCATCCCCTTCTTGTTGTCCCAGAGAATGCTCTTCCCATCGGGGTAGAGGTCTGAGGATGGCTGGGAAGAAAGCAACCGTTTGCAACGTCTGCTGAAAGCAGAGTGGCATCTTTCTCTACTCCCACCCCGCTTCTCCTTGTCTTCCATGCGAACTAACCAGCGTTTCTTGGGGGAGTGGGAGACATGCAGCAATACACCACACTGCACCCCTGCCCTCCTCCTGCCTCCAAGTCTTTGTCATCTAGGAGCCCCAACAGCCCAGCAAGTCACCTGGACAGATTGTGTATCCCACACACAGCGGGATGGGACTGAGTCTTCCAGGAATGGGAAAGGATGGTGATAGCGGAGGAAGCTGCCACTGATGTCCCAAGCAGAAGCCCCAAAGCCATGAGTGCTGACCTTGTATGGGGGCCTGCCTGGGCAAGGGGAAGGCCCCTGGCCCCCAGAGGATCCCAGGAGACCTTTGCACAATAACATGGCTCATCCTGGAAGGATGTCATGCCATTGTGCCTAGCCACAAAGCAGGCTGAGAATAGAGTTGTTTTGAATGAGGAGCCCCTGGTCTCTCGGGAACACTGGCCACCCAGTGCGTTTGAAGATCTCAATGCTCACGGCAGCAGCGACCGCAGGGGTAGATGCAAGCGGGAAATAGCATTAAACAAAGATTTTACAGCTTCAGTGGGCCAGAGCGACCCAGCAGGAAACCTGCGGGCCAGGCTTCACAGACGGCTCAAAGGGCCTGGTCAGCACCGCTCCAGCCAGCACAGTGAATGAGGAAGCCAGTGGCTTGCACTTTCCATGGAAAATCTGTCCCGTGCATTTCCCAGCCCTGGCAGTGTCTACTCCATCTCTTCTCAGCCCATTAAAACACACCATAAAAGCAGAGAGAGTTCATACGGGACAGGCAGGTCTCCTACCAAGTGCAGCGTGACATTGAGGTCTGGGATAGACACCAAGCAGGGCACTCGGGTGGTCTCTTTCTTGTTGAGGAGGAGCGTTTCCGGTCTGTTGATAAAGGGTTGCTCGAAATCTGAGAAAAAAGTGAGGGAAGGGGCAGGAAGAAGAAATGGGTGACTTGCTGGCAAGAGTTACCCCAGCACGAGGGAGACCAGGAGGGCCACCTGGGCATTCGGGGGCTAGGAAGTTTAAAAGGCCACCTGTCAACCTTGGACACACCCAGGGAATAAGTGAATATATTACTTATACTCCCAGGGAGCGTGCTGGGCAGAAAGAAAGTAGGGACACATTGGGAGCCTGGTCTGCCCTTCATCTCCTGCTAGGACCTTCAGCCTTCTCTTATGGGAGCCCCTGCCCTCCACTCATATCCTCAATGCTGTCTGCACTGGGCGCCTCCCCTTGGACCACTTCCCCAACTCAGCCAAGTGCTATTTTTTTTCAACAATAGTCAAATTTCGGCAGTGATTTAGCCACCAAAACCCTTCACGTAAAAATGAGAAAATATAATGGGACCTCGGGTCACAGGCACCGCTCCAGGACTTTGCAAAAGAGGCTCTTCTTATTTGCACGACACCGCTTCTCATGACACCTTGCTAGCCCTGTGACACCGGACAGAGCCAGCACGGACTTGCACGCCACAAGAGAAGGCAGCCAGTGCGACCTTCCTGCCCGAGAAGGAAGCGATGCACGGCCCAACGGTATGCAGATGTCATCCTGCGGAGATCCCGGCCAGGAGATAAACAGATGAGCTGAGATATCCAGGGCTTTCACCCCACCTCCGCTGGACTCTCGCAAGCACAAATATTGACAGGAAGAGC